GTATCTCATATTGGACAGTGACCATCATTGGATTATTCAGAGAAAGACAACAAAATTACATTAAGATAATTTTACACTTCTTAGTAATTAAAGGTTTTAATGTAGTGCCAGGCATTATGAAACATCCATTCTACTATAAGGTTAAAAAAATCCTACTTTCCCAAGCTTACACAGAATGTGAAGTGTTCTAAAAATCTACACATGTACTCAGACAGACTTGAAAGTTGCAGTGCTTGTTAGAATCCAGGCTAGATCTAGCCATTCTTTTGTCCACAAATATCTTTGTGGACATTTGGCAAAAGTACTTTCTGCATGGCTCAAGCCCCAGCCCTCAACTACTGTCAGTCAGTCAACACTTAGCTCAGATCCTTTGAAGAATTCTACTAGAACAATAACTGAAGGATAAATTAGGCTTTTAAGATTAGAATGTACAAAGCACATATGCAACAAACAAAAAATCTAAGCAAGTTTCCTGCCAGTTTTACCAACCTTGATGTTCTTTTGTCACATTCTCTCTTTACAGTCTGAACCTAAATGTTGGAAGAAATCTGAGACTTTTTTTAGGAAAAGACCTGTTGTTCACCTTTGTAATTTTTTCTTAATGTTTTTCATAGGTATAACCTTGACATACATTTGGCTAATGGAAGTGGAAAAACAGAGCAAATGAAAGCAGAAGTAGAAAGCAAAGTAGTGAAAGGTGCATGGAACAGTTGATGGAAATTGAATACATGAGTATAGATATCAGCAAAGACAAAAAAGTCTGATGCTTGGACCAGGAGAGAGAAGAATTTTTAAAAGGGTAAAGAAGCTTGTTAGCCCTGTTCAGTGTTTGTGAACATATATGAAGAGTAGGTTCCTAGGGGTGAAGAGCAGACCGAGGGAAAGGGATCTCTCTCAATACTGACCTGAGCTTGAATCAAGGTGCACCCTCAAGTTCATAAATACACAAAGAGTTGAAAGCCAAGAAGTACTTGGAAACACAAGCCTGAGTTCTGCTATTTTTGAATGACAGTCAAAAAGACTAAATATTATAATATTACAGGAACATTCCAAGGACAAGTTATATGGCATTCTAAGACAGACACTATAGACAGACTCTGCTAAGATGGACTTCTGTTTTGCATGAGCCATTCTGGAAAAAGAAATGTCAGTACCTCAGCTATGTAATCAAGCTCACTTTGTTTCAACAAGTTATGAAGGGTTAGCTGAGCCACAGTAACACACTAAGCATGCTATAAACCATCATAAAGGTAAACTGTTTTAGCCTAAGATAACATGTTTCAAAGTGTGTTTCCACATGTTTAATCAATGCAGCTGTGCTGACATGCAATAATTTGGGCACGTGCCTGAGCTTTCATGCACATAAATCTTCTCCACAGAAATACTGCATCTGTAAAATTTTGACTACCTCTTACAAATCTCCTACCTGTAAGATTCCACCTAGAAGCAGGTTTTCATTTGTCCAACACTGAATTCAAAAATCCTTTCCATGTTAAAAAAGTGATTGACTCCCCCACATATATGTCTGCCAAGATGCCTCAACTAAGCCATCATCTTATTCAGTTATCTTCAACAAAATAAATGTAGCTAAAATGACTGTAGAATGATTAGGGGAACCTGTCAGCCTTCAAAGACAGAAACATTATACATGTATACATAACTAAACAACTAAAAAGATGTATTCTTTCCCCCCCCTCCCTTTTTTTAATGAGTTCCAGTTTTGCCAAGTTCTGTATTATATGTCAGCAAAATATCTCCAGGCAACTTTAGTTCTGTATTAAGTCCTTATTTTTGACAATAAAACCATGAATAGAATCATAGAAAGGTTTAGGTCAGAAGTAACCTGTGGAGATCACTTAGTTCCCACCCCCCTGCCATGTGCAGGGGCACCTTCCACTAGCCCAGGTTGCTCACAGCCCCGTCCAACCTGGCCTTGAACCCTGCCAGGGAGGGGGCAGCCACAGCTGCTCTGGGAAACCTGTGCCAGGACCTCACCACCCTCACAGGGAAGAATTTCTTCCTTACATCTAATCTAAATCTATCCTCTTTCAGTTTAAAACCGTTATCCCTCATCCTATCCCTACATTCCCTGATGCAGAGTCCCTCCCCATCTCTCCTGTAGCCCCTTTCAGCACTGGAAGGCCGCTATAGGGTCTCCCTGGAGCCTTCTCTTCTCTGGGCTGAACACCCCCAACTCTCTCAGCCTGTCCTCACAGGGGAGGTGCTCCAGCCCCCTCATCATCTTTGTGGCCTCCTCTGGACCCACTCAAGCAGGTGCATGTCCTTTTTGTGTTGGGGGTCCCAGAGCTGGGCACAGCACTGGAGCAGGGGGGATGTCATTGGAGTGGAATAGAGGGGAGAATCCCCTCCCTCGCCCTGCTGGCCATAACTTTGCATGTCAACTGCACCACATAGTTTGGGGTCATCAGCAAACTGGTCAAGGGTGCACTCAATCCCACAGTTCATGTCACCAACAAAGATGTTAAACAGCACTGGTCCCAGTACCAAACTCCGAGGAACATCACTCCTCCCTGCTCTCCCCTCAGACACTGAGCCATTGACCACAACTCTGAGTGTGACCATCCAGCCAAGTCCTTATCCATTGAGCGGTCCATCCGTCAAATCCATGTCTCTCCAATTTAGAGACATGGATGTCGTGTGGGACAGTGTCAAAAGCTCTGCACAATTCCAGGTAGATGACGTTTCCTATCTATGCACATATCAAAAGAATTTAACAGCAAGTAAGGTAGTCCGCCCCTAAGGAACAGCTTTCTCCTGCTGTTCCGCCATTTGTGATTCGTGTTCAAATACTTGTTCAGTGTGGGTGGACATTTCTAAGCTAAAGTTTCATAATCACACAACAGTGTCTTTTTACAACAGCCTCTGCTTGTATTTTTCATATTATGGTGCATTCAAGATTTTTCCCCCCCTCTGTTGCACAATCCAAGCCTTTATCTGCACCTGTCCACACATAAGGGTGTTGATTATCTTTGCCTCTGCTCAGATTACATCAAAATTCCTGCTGCTTCAGCATGAAATACACAGTATCTGGCTTCCTACAGGATAAACGCTAAAAAAACCCTACAACTGAAAAAAGAGGACCTGAACAATCATATTCTTAAACTCATTTCTGAGAAAAAGCACATCTAGCATTAACTCAATCAAAAACTCAGACGAAGACCTTTCACTTTCTAATAAAATCTACCCAAACAAGGCACACCATGAAAGGGAAGGTGTTAATGACAGAAAATGAAAAATATAAACCTCATAGTCCGCTCTCACGTGTATGAAATACCGCGCTTAGAAGGAGAAAATAAGTTTTATTTCAACAACTGCCACAAGTTATCGAAGACGCTACCTCCCAAACGAGAAAAATCCCGACGGGAGCTGAGGAAACGACACAAACCCCCTCAGTTTGCTGGAGCAGGTTTCCAGCGCCTAGGCCGGAGAACCCCGAAGTTTCTCGGGCTCCGCTGAAGCCGCGTTAGCGCCGCTGTGGGGGAAGAGAAGGGCCGGGGCCGAGGGGGGGCGGCGGGCCGAGGAGGGCGGTAAGCGCGGGAGTAG